CTGGGGTCGGTGTGCACAGAAAGATAGCATACGTAGGCGTGTGTAAGTCTGCATGTGTGTGTGTGTGTGTGTGTGTGTGGACACAGCTACAGAAGACATGCTCACTCGGGGCCAGGCAGGGAGGGGGTGTGGAGAACAGTCTCTTGGGAGCCGACAAGAACGTGCCAGTCTGGCAGGGCCCGCTGGGCCACCCTCCTTCCAGATACTCTGGCAGGAATCCTGCCTGCCAAGGCCAGCGCCTCCCCCTCCCCCAGCACAGAGCAGCCCTGAATGAAGCAACAACCGGCCCCAGCCCAGGGATGGGCCTGGCATCCCTGATTGGGCAGTGCCGGACTGGTGCGGCGCCCTACACTCTTCTCTGCCTCCCGAAGGCAGAAGGGAGGCCCCAAGGAGGAGACGTATCCCGCCCCCAGGCCCCAGGGCCCCTCCGCCTCAGACAGCAGGGCAGGACTCACCAGCTGGAGGATGTCCTCGTCCTTGGGCATGATGGAGAGCTCCAGGGTATCATCGCTACAGAGACAGGGCAGGGGGTCAGGCCAGGCTGAGGCAACAGGGTCTGGGAGAACAGGGATCCTGGTCGCCAGGGCAACCCCAGGGTCAAGGGGGTGGTGTGCAGGGACTCAATGAGCGTGCTGGGAGCTATTACAGGAGAAGGGAGGCAGGGGGCACTCACCTATTCTGGATCAGAGCTATGACCTGGGAGTAGGTCTTCCCAATGACGCTCTCCCCGTTCACCTTCACCAGCCGGTCTCCTGGGGAAAGGGGGGGCAGAACCACATGTGAGCAGGCCAACGGGTGACCATGGCCCCTCCTGAGAACCCCTGCACCAGGCATGGATGACAGCGCCAGGACAGGGCCTTCCCCAACACCTGGATCTGAGAATCCCATCCTAACCAGAGAGCAGGTGGAAGAGACCCAGAGAAGGACAGCTCACCGGTGCGAAGGCCCGCTCTATGGGCGGGGCCATCATCCTTCACATTCTTGACAAAGATGGTATCCATGGGCTCCAGGCGGTGGTGCCGGGGGGAGGGTCCTGGTGAGCATCAGCCAGGTTAGCTGGGGGTGGCTGCTGAAGGTCACACCCATGCACAGCTACGCACACAGGGGACACACGCTCAGAGAACGGTCACACTCACACGGACACAAACACGGACCCACCCATTCACAGAGACGTGGATGTATAGGATAAGACAAGAGGATCCGCCCCTGGGAGAACAAAGACCAGTGTGGGGAAAACACGTTCGCGGACGCACAGAAATCACTCCTTAAATGGTGCTTTCATCCCAGCACTGTGCCAGAAAGTAGACTGAAAAGGATGGACAGATATGGGCCTTGACCTCGTGAAGGTCCCTGTCTAGTGGGGCAGACACCCACACGTGCAGAATGCCCACACCCACAGACCTGGGGAAAGCTGCAGAAAAGCCCTGAGGTTCACAGACACTCATGCCCACGCTTCCCACCCCACCCCCTTCCCTAGGGGCAGAGGATTCTAAGCAGAGGCCTGAAGATCCTGAGATGAGTACTCACCCCCTCATGACATCACATTACACCCCAGCTGCTAACTGTCTCCATCAGAGAAAGGGGCCTGTTCTAGGTCAGCTGGCTCTTCCCCTTGCCCCCAGGGGCCTCTGCGATGAGGCTCAGGAGTGTCACCACAACTGCCCAGCAGAAGCCCCAACGGCAGAGAAAGAAGTCTGCCCGTTAAAGGAGTTTTGCCTTGGGGCACCTGGGTGGCTCAGTCAGTTGAGCAACCAACTTCGGCTCAGGTCATGATCTCACGGTTTGTGAGTTCGAGCCCCGCGTCGGACTCTGTGCTGACAGCTTGGAGCCTGGA